CTTGATTTACGTGAGTCCCCTTGCCACTCACGTTTGGGGAGCTTGATTTACGTGAGTCCTCTTGCCCCTCACGTTTGGGGTGCTCGATTTACGTGAGTTCCCTTGCCTCTCACGTTTGGGGAACTTGATTTACGTGAGTCCTCTTGCCCCTCACGTTTGGAGTACTTGATTTACATGAGTCCTCTTGCCTCTCACGTTTGGGGTGCTTGATTTACGTGAGTCCCCTTTTGCCCCTCACGTTTGGGGTGCTTGATTTACGCGAGTCCCCTTGCCCCTCACGTTTGGGATGCTTGATTTACGTGAGTCCCCTTGCCCTTCACGTTTGGGGTGCTTGATTTACGTGAGTCCCCTTGCTCCTCATGTTTGGGGTGCTTGATTTACGTTTAAATTTTATTATATAACATTTTTTTAAATATTATTTTTTATACGCTTTTGTAAGTTTAATTTAATTTAATTTTTTATTTTTAATAATTTGTACAATAATGAGGACTCCCAGAATTGCTGGGGTCAAAGAAATGCTGTATGCATTGATTTTGTGCACCAAGTACTAATTAAATTTTTTAAAGCACTAGTTAAATTTTTTTTTCGTTTTCCCCGTCCATGAGTCTAAACACAAGACAGATTTTTCATTAGTGTTAGGTAAATAAATCTGTTCAAACTGTTTGACGGGGTAAAACGAAAAAAAATTTAACACCACTGATAAACGTGGAAAAGAGGTAAATATTTTAACGATTCCTGCCGGAACGACTGGTATGATTCAACCATTGGATGTTTATACATTTAGGCCGTGGAAGAATTTTCTAAAATATTTTTCGGATGTAGTTATATTGTATAATTATAATATAAATTTGCATTTAAGAAATAATATTTTAAAGATTCAATCTCTTATTCATAATCAATTTTCATCTCCCAGATTCGTAAACCTTTTTAGATATGCATGATACAAGAGTGTTACATTGAAGAGAAACCTTCTAAATGCAAGACACCTGTAAATTTTTGTTTTACAAATTGTGAGCCTATCTGTGACTCCTGTTATGATAAAGCAACTTTTAGGTGTGCTTGGTGCACAAAATCAATATGCATACAGCATTTCTTTGACCCCAGCAATTCTGGGAGTCCTCATTATTGTACAAATTATCAACAATAAAAAATTAAATTAAATTAAACCTACAAAAGCGTATAAAAAATAATATTAAAAAAATGTTATATAATAAAATTTAAACGTAAATCAAGCACCCCAAACGTGAGAGACAAGGGGACTCACGTAAATCAAGCACTCCAAACGTGAGAGGCAAGGGTATTTCTCCCACACATATACATACACAACACGCGCACGCGTGTACGAATACGTATGGAGCGCATACGAATACGTATGGAGCGTGTATACAGACGTTATCTTCCATTTTCGAAAAATGGTTTTACGGAAAATAATTTAAATACACACCGTTGTTTTCAGTAAATTATGCTTTATAATTTTTGTCATATAAAGATAAAAAAATTTTTGAAAATAGAGGTGGAAGGTGAAGGTATACAATAAATAAATAACTAAAAAAAATTTTTTTTATTATAGTTGTAAAGTACCCTTGAAGCCATCCTATTTTTATTCAAGAATTTTTTTTCTACCTCTTATATTTTCGACGATATTCGCTTCGAAAGAGAAAAACCGATTTTTTTCAAAGGGGTATTTCAGCCTTTAAAAGTGCGTATAGGCACGTATAAATAAATACGTGTCTCTTATTTTTCTTTGGAGAACAACATACTAAAAGCTCATCAAAATCGGAGAGTTACACTTGGGTAGGGAAGATACGGGGACGAGGGAAAGGATACAGCGGGTCTCGTTGATACCAAGGTATCCTGTAACGGGTGACCTCCTTTTGGGCACGTAATTATTGGACACCGCACGATTGGACACGCATTATTGGACACTGCATTTTTAGACACCGCATAATTGGGCATCGCATTATTGGACACCACATTTTTGGACACCGCTTTATTGGAGACCGCATTATTGGACACCAACGGTATAACATACGTTCCTAATTTATAACGCATAATAATTTTCAAGTAACAAAAACTCCTGTACAAATCGAATATAAACATGGAAAGAAAAGGGCACTAGGAGTTCAGCGCAGATAACTTTACGTAAAGGCTGATATATTAATATCAAGCAAAACTTACTTGTTATAATAATTATGCTTACATGTTTCGACTCATTTTTGAGCCTTCTTCAGAGACAATACAAATTACATTAATGAATTATAAATAAAAAATGATAAAAAAGATCAAGTGATGTTTAACCACAGAGCACCCTCACAACCAAGAAATAAAATCTTATGTTAATTCTATCATACAAAACATATTAATATAAAGGGAAATAAACAAATAATTAAAGAAAAAAGAGAAAGAAATGAAGTATACTGAAACTAACAAATTTTGGGTTAATTTCGAAAATAGATTTATCATAATTACAGTTATTCTACCGGGAATGAGGAGGCTCACTATGTTCACAACGATACCATATCGCAAACATTATTCACAATATTAAAAAACCGGTCTTTAAAGTAATATAGGCCAATCAGTCTCAGACACAGTGAGTCACTTTAATTGTTTGACGGTATTAAATTGAAATTATCGAAAATACAAATAACAAATATAAAGAGATAAGGGCAATGAGCCAATAATTTCGTTAAAATCTTTAAATTAATGTAACATATTGCAAAGAATATTACTACGGCGACCCGCCATCAGAGGTCTATAGATATTCGCAAAAATTCTCGCAAGTGCTTTGGTACGCGTATATCTCTTTATATAGAATCTCAACTAAATAACTCTCTCAGGTATATAAGGCAGGCTTCCACTACAATGCCTTACTGATGAGTCCAGTAGTGGAAGCTGGGACGAAACGCCATAATTACGTGATATTCTTCGCAATATGTTAGATTAATTTAAAGATTTTAACAAAATTATTGGCTCATTGCCCTTATCTCTTTATATTAGTTGTTTAATATAATACATATTGAGTCTTATCACAAACATACAAATAACAAATGCTAAGAATCAGCTACTATGCACAAGCGAGACTGATTAGACAGACGTGATAGATAACAACGCTATTTATAACTTATCTATGATCGGGAAGTAGACCTTGGGAAGCCCGTCCATGTTCGTTTGTAAGTTAAGTCCGTGTACTTGTCTCCTGATGGATGTCAATCCCGAAATCAGTATTTTTCCATAGTGTGGTTCCTCATCCACACATCTTTTGATGTCATCCCAATCAAATTCATGATCTTCAAGTAGCCGGTGCTCCGTTATGATGCTGCGGGTAGACGTATTCCATTTGATATGATTTTTATGTTCCGCAATTCTAGACTTTAGTTGTCACGACACGTTTATCCCACATAACTTGCATCTCCATTTTTACAAGAAATTTTATAAACATCTCCTGTTTTCTTTTCACGCGGCAAAGGATCTTTATGCACTCTAAGAACTTCACGCAATTTATTACTATTGTAATACGACATCTTTAAATGACTACTGTTCAATCTGTTGAACTTCTCAGTAATATCTCTCATGAAATGTACGGTGAACCATGAAGGTCGTATTACATCCTGACTATCCTCCTCAACAGCTCTCCTTTTACTTCGGGCCATAATAATAGTCTTCAAGCGATTGTTCATATTGTTGTACCTCTCGGTGCAACAAGATATTATTTTGGGATTCGGTCCGCTTAAAGGGTTGGAACCCACGAGGAAAGACAAGGATAGAGAAC